GAATTGCTACCTTACTTTAACCAATACTTTAAAAATATAAAGTAAAAATGTACTGAGGGGAATTTAGGGCTGTTGGAGGATACTGGAAGAGTTGGTTAGAAGTTTCATAAAAAATAAACAATTTTTAAAAAATGAAGCAGTCAACTATGGAAAACTAAATAAAAAGTTGCATAAGAGTGGAATCACTATCATACTAAAGAGCTACTCTACTTAAAGAGTAAAGAATATAGTCATAATAAAAACAATAATTTTGAAATTTAAGAATTATGCTACAACAAAGTATGGGAGAGAAGAGGGCTCATAAAGGGCTAAAATCCTGTCTTAGCATAATAGGAAATCATTACAGAATGCCTAAAAATGATGCAAGAGACAGCATTGATTAGGACTAGGGAGATAAGTATCAAAAAACAGCTAAAATAATGGAAAGTTAGGGAACTGCTATGTTTACATGTCTTTTAGCACTTAATTTTTATACATGTATTACATATAATTACTTATTTAAGAAATAATTTTAAAACGCAAATGAACTGAAATACGATTTTGAAAACATCAGGAAAACATTTTAAGCCAAACATCAGCGCATGCTTGGAAAAGTGTTTGCAGTCATAACTATTCCATCATACACAAAGAATCTAAGTGAACTTAAAACAGAAAAGAGGTTCACGTTTAGATAATCATTTAAGCATTGTTGATAGAGAATACCCAGTGGAACTAGGACACAAAAGGAGAGCAAATGTAACGTTTTTCTTTCCTCCACCAGGTCCTGCCTTACTCGTCTTTGCATCTCTGGTGCCTAGCCCACTGTTAGCAAAGTGTGGCCCAGTAAGAGTTTACTGAATAAACAGGTTAAGAAAGGTGACCAAACTAATGTGAGGAGAAAGAGGAAAGATCTCTAGGTGAAGGGAAGGCACAAAAATCACGAGTACGTGCCAGAGGTACACGCCTTACTCTAAAATTTTACACAACTCAAACAAGGGTCCTACTTTTTCCTTTACTGGGAAACCAGTGTTGCGAGATTAAACTAGCCCTAACTCAGAATGAAGTCTAGGTAAGATCCTGCACCCCAGCTCCCACCTCCACCGAAGAGTTCCCTTGGATTCTCGATAAACACTCTCAACTCCTGAAAAAAATCTGTCTGGTAACAGGAGAACCCTGCCCTAGAACGCTGCACACAGTAAATGCTTAATATACGGAAATGGTCTCCCAATTTCATCAAAAACCTTCACCGATTCAGAAGACTGTTTTCCCTCTAGAATCCCCTCCCCCAGGTTCTAACTTTGGGGCCCGCAGCGGGGCAACGAGCTCCTTGCACTCCAGTTCAGCCCACGTTGGGCCCAGACTAGAGGAACGTCTCCAGGGCCTCCCTCCCCTCCTCCGCGAGGTCAGCCCCGCCAAGTAACCGCTCCGCCACCCAGCCCTGTACCCTAGCTCCCTGCCCCACCTGACTGGTCGCCGCTGTAATATTCCAAGTCCATGGCAGGTGGGCTCTCGGCGGGGAGTGTCAGCACTCCGCGCCGCCCCCGTCACCTCCTTCTCGGCGGTGTGACCCGGCCCGGTGCTCAGAGGCTCCCTCCCGACTGCAGGGTTGGAGGATGCGACGAGTAAAAAAGCAGCTACGGCAGACGCGAACGCTTTGACCAAGAAACAAGGGCAGGAGAGGCCGTACCCGGCAGGTGGGCAGGTGTGGGGGGTTGGCGCTCGACTTCCCAGAAGCACCTCTGGAGCCAAAATGGCGTCGGCCTACGACCCTCAGAGGAACGCAGTGCGCAGGCGCAAGCGCCTGCCAACCGACCAATGAGAAGACGCAGCGGTAAGGACGCACGACCTGGCCGGAAAGGAGACCTTTGGGAAAACTGAGAGGGACCTACGACTTAAGTTCAATACCTTCCCTTGGAGTAGCCTGGTCCTTTCCCCCCATGGAGGTAATAACGTTACTTCATGGGTTCTGTGTCTACGCCTTGTTTGAGGAACTTCTGAGTTACTCTTCCGAAAAATGAAGACCCTCTAGAATTACAGTTTCCATCATTCCACCAATTAACTATTGTTCCCGAAATGCAGCGAGGCTCTTGATTCCCGCCCTTAGTGCAGAGAGGAAGTGGCGCATTGCTCTCTGGTACTTGTAGTTCGAGGGCTACAGAGCTATACTGCGTTACTGACATAATCAAAAGGGCTTCCTTTCAAGGCATTCTTCTTTCTTTCTTGTTTAAGTTGACAACTTAATTCTCATCTTAAGAAGCCATTTGGTCAACAGTAGGAAGAACAGGTTTGTTTCCAGAAAGGTCCCCTGTGCTTCTGAGAAACGGGGATGTTTACGAAACCTCCTTGGCTATATTGTGATTACTAACTTGTACTTTGAGAAGTATAATCAATAATGTTGTAAAGATTTTTTATGGGGTCGGATGGGCATTTGTCTTATTAGGGAACCACTTCATGGACTATGTAGATGTCTGACCACTGCGCTGTACACCTGAAACTGAATAATATTGAATGTCAATTATAATTTTATATATATAAATATATATATATATATATACATATATATATATACATATATATATATATAGTCACGGGGTGTGGAGTATTCCATAGGGAATAGAGTCAATGGAATTGTAACAGCTATATACAGTATCGGAGGGGTAGTAGATAGGGGGAGAGGGGTTATCACTTTGTGAGGGTTGTAAATGTCTATTATATTGTTTTGTACACCTGAAACTAAATTTAAAAATTCTAAAAACTGTGTAAAACAAGAATAAGTCATTCTTTAATAATAAATCACAGTTCTCCAATAAGCAAAAGTAAAACGAAATCTCCCGACTTATCAGTATTCCAGGAAAGGCTCACTGTGAATAACAACCCTTCTCCCTATGACTTAGATAAAACTGACTCTCCACTCTTTTTCATGACTCGCATGAGACCCTCTTGTTTACCTGTGACAAGGTCAAATACCTTTTCTTTTTTTTCCTAAGGGCGGACTCACACACACACACACACACACACACACACACACACAGTGGAGGTATGAGCAAGGATTCCCCAGGAGGTGCAGACTTGCAGAAATAGGGCCCTTTGTTAGTTAGCAAAGCATACATCTTGGACTGAATTTCTAGGTTTGCCTAGTCTGTTGCAAGGATTCATTTGGTGCCTGGAATGTCCACTTCCTACCCTGGAGTTGAGAGATGTGGATTCTTTAATTCTATTATAAATTCTCAGAGTGCTCTTAGTCAAGCTACATCCCAACTTTGATAATCCTTGTTGTTATGTTAGCCAGTCAGAATATGCTGGCAGAACATAGTTCTAGGCTCCAGAAAAGGCCATGGGAAGGGAAGGAAGAGAAAGGTGGTTTCTTTTTGGAAATACTCTTTGTCTTGTAAGAGAGTTCATGGACATTCCTTCCCCTGTATAATGGGAACAACTTTGAAATCCAAGTCTGCCCCTTCAGCTGTGGGAATGACATCTTCTCAGGCTGTTGTGAGAATCAGAAGAGCAATGAATTAACAGGACCTGAAACTAAAGGCACAAAATTTAAATATTTACTTCCCTGTATTTGATAGAAGAGACCCTAGATGTAAGCTCTTTTCTAAAGAGAGTGGGTGAGATTGTACTGTGTAAATAAGGCAAGGTGAATAGGGCAGAAGTCCAGGGAGAGGGTCAGTGAAAGGGAACCCAGGACAAATCCTGCTGATAGAGATCTTGGAATTTCACCAGACGTACAAGACCATTGGCCATGAAAGTGATTGGGGCAAATACTGCAATTACAAGTGGATAATTATTGAATTTTAATATAAAGATTCTAACTGTCCTGGTGGTTTGGAGAATGGAGCGGTAGAAGCAGACTGAACACAGCAATGTGCTGAGCTCCAGCAGGCTGCAAAGACGTTTTTGTACAAAGGAAGCCAATAATTTAGTTAGTGAGACAGGACACACCTTTGAAATAAACAGAGTTTTAGTTAAAACAATGTGCTTGTCAATGCAAACACAGCTCCAGGAGCTTTCCCCAGAGCCCCTTTGTCTCCAGCTGGCTCAGGGCCCTCATAGAGAAATGCTGGAGCAGCACAGGTGTGCCTTTCTGAGTCCTGGCTGCCTTGCATTTCGAGGATTGCTGTCTCTCCAATCCCCATAGCCCTCTCCAGCTCCAGCACAGTTGGTCCATGCTGCTGGTGGTGGAGAGGCACCCAGAAGGGAGGCTGTTTTTCCCACCAAGGATACTAAAGCAAGAGAAGACGGGAAGGAAGAGGTGAACTTGCAGAAGTCCAGTACTTTCTTTTCCTTGACTGATGACCCAGGGACATTGGTTTCCTTAAGTGCATGCAAGATTTATTTGACCAGCTTTTTGAGACACTGTAACTTGCTGAACATGGGGAGTAAGAGTTCGCACAATATTAGAAACAGCCTGGCACTGGCAGAGCTGCAGTCCAAGGGCTGAGAGCCCTAGGTTCTGGGCCAGACTCCAGGCATATTGTGCTTGGTGAGCTGGAACAAGCTACCAGCCTTCTCGGAGTCTCAGTTTCTCCATGTGTCAAATGAGAGTTGAATCAGAAAATTTCAAGGCCCCTTAGTTTCATTAATCCATGTAAGAGAAACCTGGTTTCCAAACCTGACCTTCTTTCTTGTGCTTGAGCCACTAGGGGGCCCTGCCAGTGAAGAAACAAATGAAACAAGTGCCTTCTAAGCCTATATCTATGTACCCTTGGCTGTGCACATTCGCACACATTGCAGCCTCACAACTCGTTAGGACTCATGGGAGATTTGTTTGCAACATTGAAACCTGGGACTCACTTGAAAGCCCATTATACACATATATATATAATAGTGTGTAGTGAATCACTAAGCATCAGTACCATAGCACACCATGCAGCCACTAATACATCTAAAGTGGATCTTTAGCTCTCATGTGGAAAGATGTCCAAAATATATTAAGTTAAAAAAAGTAATAGAATACTGTAAATGGCAAACTTTATTTATTTATTTATTTTTATTTTGTAACTCATGATTATTTAATATTAAGAATGTGCATGCACCCACTTCTGACAAAGCTGATTGAAAAGAACTTTAGGAGAAAGCGGTCCTTTTTCAGTTTCCTTCATGCTGTGAAGAAACAGGAACAAGGCTGAGGTCAATGGTCCAGGGCTTGAAAGTTCCACTATTAATGGATCCAGCTGAGAGTCTGAGGAAGGAAAAATCTTGAGTTTTGTACCATTTTCTTTGATCTCATTCATCAGTTCAGTAAGAATGTAAGACTGTGCCAAGTTCTGCATGACTACATTAAAAAAGCAAGTATTTCCTAAATTCGTAGTTCCTTTTACAGATGTTACACTGCTGCCTTTTCTTCCCTTCTTTTTTTCACCTGTTTCACATTTTTCTTCACAAAGTTTTATGATTCTAGAAAATGCACTTGTTTGTGTTTTAGAAACATGTTTCTGGAGAAAATCAACTATCTGAGCCAAAACCTTCGTATTACAAAGCGTTGATAACTTTTCATCACACTCATAACACCATATAATCCATGTGCTCAGACTAATTATAATACAATGAAGCTCTGTTCTCCAACTCTTGAAGTGTTTCAATGAATGCTGGCTGTCTGAGTTTTTACCACATCCCTGAAAGCCACACTTGAAGCACAACCAAATATCGGAAGGAAGTACTGGCTGTCCATCATAAAATCTTCTTTCTTTTAAACATTCTGAGCAAACTGACCACAGGTTCTCAGCTATTGCTCTTTTCACATGATTCACACTGACAGCATGACTTACATGTTAACAAGTGAAACCAGCAATGTCATCTGAAGAGTCTTCATCATGAGATATAGCAGGCCTTTTACTTCTTTTGGCTTTCTCAGGTAAAGCTTTGGATGGCTCTTTCACCTGCATCTGTTATTTACCCGGCGGGCCTTGCCTCCGTGTCTGGCAAACTTTATTTATGTGAACACCAAAAACAGCGAACAAAACCGAACCTGAAAATTCCTTAATGAGTATCGGGGGCAAATAACTTTTGAAAAGCCATAGAAGACTGACAAATTTGACTACATAAAAAAAGAAAAAGTATGCATAGCAAAAACAGCACACTACTAGCAAAATCAAAAGATAAATGATTAGGAAATTTTTAAAAATGTTTTTCAACTCGTATCATAGACCAAGGAAAATCTGATTTCTCTAATGAATAAAGAGCTCCTAGAAATCAATAAGACTAATAATTCAGTAGAAAAATGGGCAAAGCATATGAAAATTCACAGAAAAGGAACTATTAATGGCTCTAAGATACATGAAAAGGTATTAACCCTAAAATAAGAAAAAAACAAAATCATATTGAGATACATTTTTCACTTCTCAGATTGCAAAAATCTGATAATATTCCATTAGTGACACCATGGAGAAAAAGACCCTCTCATAAGTTGCTGGTGGGAATATATTAGTATAGACAGCCCTCTACAGAAAGCAATTTGCAAATATTTATAAAAATTACAAATGTATATGCCCTTTGACCCAGCAATTTCATGTCAGAAAGTGTATCCTACTTCACCATGTACAAATGACATCTGTAAAATTATTCATTGCAGCACTATTTTCAAAATATTGGAAATAACCTAGATGTCCAAACAGGAATGATCATAAAATTATGATATATCTGTACAATGCAGTGTTCTGTAGATATAACCGAAAAATGAGAAAACTCTCTTACATACTGACATAACAGGATTCCTAAGCTGGATTCAGTGAAAAATGAAAAATGCAGAACAGTATTAGAGTATGCCATGTTTTGTGAAAAGGGGAGGATAACATATTTCTTGTTGATTATATTTTAATTTTATTACATATTTAAAAATTTTGAAAATAGTATAAGAAAGAAAATACTTGCTGTCTGTTGGGGGAAAGGGAGGATGGAGAAAAGGGTGGAAATAAGCCTTTAATTTTTTTTATAACATGTAATAATACTCTTGCTCTGCATGATAATTTCTATTCGATTGTATTTAATTTTGTCATGGCATATCAAATGAACTTCATAGCCCACTAATAGTTTACAGCCCATAATTTGAAAACTGGAAGTGCCAGTCTGCAGTGGCCAGTGGTGTGGAAGCCACCTGGACCAATTTGCCGTGATCAGGACCCCTTTCCAGGCCTGACGATCTGAGCAGAGATGTCTTTATGGGCTCTGCTCTCACCTTGTTTGGAAACCATAGATGTGTGCCCTGCGCTAAGCAAAGCCCCACTTCAATGCATACTTTTGTGTGTGTGTGAATAATTATTCAGTTTACAAAAGGATTCTTTGTTTTAGTTTGTCTTAGTTTTGTTTTGTGGTGAGCTCCACATCACTGGAAGTGTGCAAACAGAGACTGCTGGTGTGCCATAAAGGGATTCAGCGTTGGAACCATGGTTGTACCAGGTGACCTTCACAGCCCTTATTTTTTAAACTATTTTTTTTATTTTGGTAAAATATATCTGACATAAAATCTGTCATTTTAGCCATTTTAAGTGTACAGTTCAGTGGCATTAATTGTATTCACAGTGTACCTATTTCCAAAATGTTTGATCACCCAAACAGAAACTCTATACCCATTAAGCAATAACTCCCATTTTTCCTTCCCCACAGCACCTGGTAATATCTAATCTTTCTTTTTCAATGAATTTGCCTATTCTAGATATTCCATATAAATTGAATAACATATTTGTTATTATTGTGACTGGCTTATTTCACTTAGCATATTTTCAAGGTTCATCCATGTGTCAAATGGACAAATAATATTTCATTGTATTAATACGTTATACCACATTTTGTTTATCCATTCTTATGTTAATAGATACTTGAATAGTTTCCACCTTTGGCTACTGTGAATAATGCTGCTATGACAGCAAAGTTACAAGATACAAAATGAACACACAAACGTTAGTTTTATTTCTATATACAAGTAATGAAAAATCTAAAAAGAAAATTAAGAAAATAATTCCATTTATAATAGCATCAAAAAGAATAAATTACTTAGGAATAAGTTTAACCAAGGAAGTGTAAGACTTTCTGCACCAAAAACTACAAAACATTGTTAAAAGCAATTAAAGAAGACATAAATAAATGAAAAGGTATCTCATGTTTATGGATTGGAAGACTTAATATTATTAACATGATAATGCTACCCCAAATGATTTACAAATTCAGTGCAATCCCTATCAAAATTCCAATAGTATATTTTTGCAGAAATGGGAAAACTCATCCTAAAATGCATATGGAATTTCAAGGGACTCCCAAAGAGTCAAAACAATATTGAACTAGAACAAAGTTAGAGGACTCATACTTTCTGATTTCAAATTCTACTGCAAAGCAACATTAATCAAAACAGTGTGACATTGGCATAAGGACAGACATATAGACCAATCAAATAGAATAGAGAGTCCTGAAATAAACCCTCACATTTATGATCAACTGGTTTTTGACAAGGGTGCCAAGACCATTCAATAAATAAAGAACAATCTCGTCAACAAATAGTGTCAAGAAAACTGGATATCCACATATAAAAAATGAAGTTGGACCCTTATCATACACCATACACAAAAATTAACTAAAAATGGATCAATGACCTAAATGTAAGAGCTAAAACTATAAAACTTTAGAAGAAAACACAGAAGCAAATCTACATAATCTTGGATTTAGTGATGGTCTCTTAAATATGACACCAAAAGAAAAAATAAAGTAGACTTCATTCAAACTAAAAACTTCTGTGCATCAAAAGATCACTATCAAGAGAATGAAAAGACAACCCACAGAATGGAAGAACATTAAACCCTTATCATATATCTGATAAGGGTTTAATATCTAGAATATATGAAGAACTCCTACAACTCAGTAACAATAAGACAAACAACCCAACTCAAAAGTGGGTAAGGGACTTGAATAGACATTTCCCCAAAGAAGATACACAAGTGGCCAATAAGCACATAAAAAGATGCTCAGCATCATTAGTCACAAGAAAAATGCAAATCAAAACCACAATGAGATACCACTTCACACCAACTAGAATGGCCATAATAAAAATAATAGAGGGCCGGCTGAGTGGCTCAGTTGGTTAAGAGCTCGCTCAAAGGTTTGAGCTCTGAGCAACAGCAGTTCGAGTCCGGCCCAGGCTGAGCTGCCCCTGAGCTGCCAATAGGTGGCGGGATGACTCAGCTAAAAAAAAAAAAAAGAAACTAACAAGTGTTGGTGACGATGTAGAGAAATTAAAATCTTCATACCATTGCTGGTGGGAATGTAAAGTTGTGTATACACTGTGAAAAAGTTTGGCCGTTCCTCAAAAGGTTAAACATAGGATTATCACATGACCCAACAGCTCTACTCCTTTGTAGAGATTCCAAAGAATTGAAAAGAAGGCATCAAATGGATTCTTTGTTTTTTAATTTTGGAATAATTTTAGATTTACAGAAAATTTGCAAAAATCGTGTAGTTTCCATATATCCCTCATCCAGTTTCCCCTGATAATACCTTACATTACCATTTGTGATTACATTTGTCAAAACCTAGAAACCAACAATGGTACATACTATTCACAGAACTCTAGACTTAATTTAGACTTCAGCAGTTTTTCTACTAATGTCCTTTTCTGTTCCAGAACCCATCCATGACACTACACTCCATTTAATTGTCATATCTCCTTAGTCTCCTCTGATCTATGACAGTTTCTCAAACTTCCCTTGTTTTTCATGATCTTGATAGTTTTGAGGCATCCTGGTCAGATACTTTGTCCCTCAACTTGGTTTGCCTGACATTTTCCTCATGATCATAGTCTAATACTTAAGGGTTTGGGGGAAGAATACCACACAGGTGAAACACCCTTCTCAACACAGCATATGAACATAACATCACAGGAGATATTCAACTTGATCACTTGATATGTTAGTCTGCTTGGGCTGCCATAACAAATACCACAGACTAGGCAGCTTAAAGAACAGGGATTTATTTTTTCTCAGTCCTAGAAGTTGGAAGTCCAAAATCAACATGGCATCAGGGCTGGTTTCTCCTAAGGATTTTTTTTCTGGTTTGTCGATGGCCACCTTCTCCCTCTTTCTTTACATGGTCCTTCCTCTGTGCATGTCTGTGTCCTAAGCTTTTCTTATAAGGATATCTGTCAGATTGGAATAGGGCCCACCCTAATGACCTCATTTAGTCTTAATTTCCTCTTCAAAGGCCCTAGCTCCAAATATAGTACATTCTGAGGGACTGAGGGATAGGGCTTCAACATACAAATTTTGGGGAACACAATTCAGCCCATAACACTTGGTTAGGGTAGTGTCATCTAGGTTTTAGGTTTTTCCAATGTAAAGTTACTATATTTCTTTTACCACACTTTATTCTTTGGAAGTGAGTCACTAAGTCCAGCCCATAAGGGGAGAGTGCGGAATTCTTGGATCAAAACCAAACAAGCAAACAGAGGATTCCCTGGCACATTCTTTCCATTCATCCTGTGTGTGTGCAGGCACCGAGGTGTGGGGGCTGTGTGAGCCTCCCTGCATCCTAAAAACCCTGACTGATTTGCTGCAGAGGTTCAATAGATACCCAATGAGCAAGTGACTTAGTGACCCAGCCAGTGAGGGAGTTCCACAATAGACCATGTGGAGACGCTGGACTTCCTTTTGACTCCAATAGTCTATTTGAAGACAGTTTATATTCTTGGGTTTAGGTTTAATTGGAAATACAAAGCTGGAAATATAATTAATAGCAGATTTAGGAGAAGGGTCAAGGGGTTGTAGTCTCTAGTTTCAGGGACTATGCAGGGGGGGAAAAGTTGCTTATTTCAAAAGCAGTTTAAAGCAGCAGTGAGTTTTCATGGACTTTTAGACACTTTTTCCAGGGCTCTGGATGGTGAATACATACCAGCATCAAGAAAAAATTCTGCCCAGCCCTC